AACTGAATAAATTAATATACCATATTTGGAAGATAGCGGGTAAATTCAACGTTGTTGGTGTGTTCCTTCGGGTTCCGAAGTCGCACGAAACGAGTTCATGTTCCGTTATCTTTCGCAAGTAAAACAGGTCGATATGTATTAAACATGGCATTTGTTTTCTTGTTTTAACCCCCTTATTACGCAAGCTTCCGTCGAAGTGGTGTTTTTTTCGACGATTTGTGGCATGTTGCAAAACGAACGAAACATTGCGGCATTCTTAGCGGTGGATAAGGGATCGACTATGTCGTCACATTTATGTCTCGTTTGAAAGAGAATAAACAACCGCTCAGAAAAATATGTTGCTAATATTTAAGTGCGGTGCCTTGAAATCGCCTGCCCGACGTCCAAATTTCAAAAGGATGTTCGATTTGCAATGACGACCGTTCATATGTACTAGGCGATGTTACTAATTACTACTAGGGTCGGTGTTTGCATTAAGAATTATAGAACAAAAGATCAGCAAAGCGGTGCTTTTGTCGGCGATTTTGTCAAAGGGAATATTGATAAAATGTTGCAAAACAGAATCGCGAGTTGGGTGAAAAATTGCGCCGGCGGCATTCTCAGCGATGGCGACACCCGAGAAACACCGTGTCACGGTGCATTCGTGCATCAGTACACCGAAGAAATACATACATATTGTTGCGGACGACTATTGTAGACTGTGTTCGTGTAGTCTTCGAGTTTGTGGATAGTTAAAGTCGTGTGTGAATTTATTCAAGCCAGGAAAAGCAGGAGGGATAACTTATGGAAATCGTCTTTCCAATTTGATCCAGTGCGACGTTGTGAAAGGAGCGACTCTGTCGTCTCATCTATGTCTAGTTTGTAAGAGAAAGATTGATAGCGCAGAAAAATCCGCCAATAATGTAAAACAGTGGCGTGAAATTGTCAGTCATTCTAATATCTCCCAACCTGTGAACAAAGGGTTAAGCGTGCTGCCTTGAAATCGCCTGCCAAAACTAAAATGGCGCGTGTCACGTGACTTTGTTTACTAAAGATAGCGTGGGCGTTTGATTGACACTCAACTCATTAGTATTCCACCAATCACAGCTACATCTACTTTCTGGATGTGCGCAGTCAAATTGTATAGGAGACAAGCTGGAGTCTCGTGTGGCGATAGCGATAACACCGGGACGAATGGTCTGGGGTAGCTGAAGGAATGTTTCAGTTAAAATAAAATCCAGCGAATATTCCCTTTTTCCTATATTTTACAGTCAAACTTGTCAAAAATCAATGAAAATAAATTCAATACAAAAAAACAGCCAGAAAAAGTCTTTTCAGCGAATGGTAATTCCAGGTGAAATAAAATATTTTACAGTAGATTAGATCTGTGAGTAACGCTACAGCACGTGATTTCTTCATTGCGTCCAATTTATTATAGTACTGTTTATACATGTATTCTGTTTGGCTCAGTGGTCTTATTCACTAGTTACTAGAAGAACTAGTAACCTTATTTGATTTCAAGAACTTCAAGAAGGCAGCATAAGAGACGTGTTTGCAAAGGTAAGTTCTCCAGTTTCTACAAAATTGAATGTATTTTGGGGTGCGATTGGTGTACATTCCGTGACGTACGTACGGACGTGAATATTATGATGATTGCCAGCTTTATATTCTTGTGAAAAGCCGAAAAAGCAAACAATTG